TATATATATATATATATATATACATATATATACACACATATATACACACATATACACACATTACAAAAAAAACAGTTCAATTTGGTGCACTCAAAGACAGAGACACCTTTCACTGCACCAAAACAACGTCAGGCTGTCCTCAGCCGGTAGTTTGGAAATGCAAACATGCTAAACAAAGCCAGATTAAAATGAAGCCCGAGGACCATTTACTCCTTGCATCCCGGCTTCCAGAGGTACACTTGTGACCGTTGCCGTCAGCGAGATCGTTTGCTTTAGGAAGTTGTAAGATTTATTGCTGTCCAACATGTTTCACACCTGTTTCTTTTCATCACACAGGGACACAAGCCTGGCTGGAAACGGCAGCTGCAAAGCATAAAATGCGTGCTTTCCTCCCTATCCGTGGAGTCTGGCGGCCGGAGCAGAGCTGGGATACTCTCCTCTTAGAACGCAGCCATTTATGGGCAAGCCGACGAGAAGAAGCCGAGGCCAGACCAAGAGTTTATGAGAAGCAGAAGAATCTAACCCTGCAGGCTGCCGGCCTTCTCCCCAGGATTCCTTAGAACTTGGCGCTTTGCACTCACCTTATCCGGCGCAATAAATGCAGAGGCGCCCAGATAAAGCCTCTCGTATTAGATACAGGCATTCCACACACACTAAGCTGAGGGAACGGAGGGCAGATCTACAATGGCCCTGCTTTCCGCATTACTCAAAACATGGGGCCAGAAACATGACAGCTGCAGCAAGTTTATCCAAGTCTAAGACAAAAACTGTAATATATTGCAGCTTACCAGTCCTTAGATGTGGCGGCCGAATTCATTTTATTTTTCTTCCTCCTTTATCGTCATCTGCTGATCCTGCCGGTAACACACTTCCTGCCCTCGGGTGACAACGCTTACTTCGCTCTATCTATGAAGGAGTAGCGTTGTCACCTTAGGCTGCTCTTCTGATTTTGACTACAGATACCTCACCTTCTCCTCATCCCTATTATATTGGTGTTCTGTAGTTCACAGTAGAGAACTGGGACGATCGATAACATTGTGACAGATTTCATTTCAGTACACAGAAAGTGACGAAGGACACTGAATTTCTGGCAAGATGAACAGGGATTTTTTTTTTCTTGAAAATGTCCTTTGCCTGAATACAAGAAAACTCATGAAGCCAACTCATCTAACGACATGTTAAGCTGCAATGTATTACACTTTCCGTCTTAGATTTAGATACATCATAAAGTGATTAGTATAAAATTGTTAACAAAAGCCAACACATTTTGGGGGGAAAAAAGCCTAGTAATTCTTCAGGGCTTAAAACAGAATTAGAACTGGATGGTATTTATTAGTCTGTTTTGGGGCTAAACAGAGCCGAGGTATTGGTGTATCCTTGTGGAGATGAAGGTGGCCGGCTGCTCCATTTCTACAATGAGGATGGCAGCTCTGCTGCATTTTGCCCCAGAAATCTAATGAATACCATTCAGTTTAATTACATTTTATACTTTTTAAGCCCTGAAGAAGGGGAGACTTTTTCCCTCTAAAACGCATTGACTATTCATAAACATTTTATACCGAACATCGAGCCACGTGAGTGTTTTTCCAGGTGCCCCTAACCTCATACAAATGGATCAGTGTTACCATGTTGCATTGTTCATATGTATGTAAAGCATTGTCGAGTTTGCTGCTAAACTACGCAAAAGGATAATACTAATCAGTATAAAGTGCATACAATCCAATGTGCTAGCTAGACACCAGTCCAAAAGAACAGGATTCTCATTGGGGGCCCCTAAACTGGAAGATGACAGCACTTCTCTGCTACAGTACAGATGTGATTAGGGGAGGTAGATGCTATACTTGCTTTTTCTCCAGGGATGAATCTTTTAAAAAACCATGAATACCACCACTCTAGGTCAGTCTGCACTTCAACTCCAATCTACTTCCAGAAGTGCTGATCCAATTTATTTCAACCATGCCACAACAGCAGCTCCAAAAATGAACTCAATCTGTGACTTGCATAAGGGGAGCGTTGCTTCCCCTGACAAATCCAATTGTTCCTTCCGCAGCCCGCACATCATTACTCCTGTAAAGAGGCAAGAGTAATGGAGGAACCAGAGCAAGCGCCGGGGGATGTGGGCACCTGACACTCTCAGAAGTGTCCAATGCTGAAGAATTTGCAGCGCTGGAAGACAGAGGTATTCAGACTCGCTGCTCACTGGAGACGCCAATATTCACAGTCGTCTATTGCAGGAAGTGGGGAGCGTGTGAAACACTTCCATTGACCTGCTGCAACCTTGCTGGTGCTTGGTGTCTGACCTTCATTCGGCGCTGACACATAGGGGCGAGGTGAGCATACTGAGTAAACTCCAATTCATGACTCAGAACTTACACAGGCATAACTCTCTTTACTACTGGTGGATGGACGAAGTGAAAGTAAGCAAGCATAAGGTGCTGATGATGCTGCCATTTAAGAGAACCTGTTGCTTTGACCTGCTTAGGAACAGCACAGGCTCATTTTACAGCTCAATTCCAAGCAAAAAGCTAAATACACAGCAGAAATGTGTGTCATGTGCATACAAAGACTTTGTAATGATGGTCACATTTTATTACAATGGTTTGAAATTAGAAAAAGCTTCAGACAGACAATGTAAGCGCCTATGTTCAGGAGCTTTTGTTCACTAAAAAGGCAGTGCCACCCACTTTAAAAATTGCAGGTCAAAGCACAGAAAAATCAAATACATGAAATGCCTACTTACACTTTTTTTTCCATTCCATAAATGATTTTTTTTTATTCACATTGCCTTTGAACTTGCTAGGAAATAAAACTACTTCAAGAGCAGTCAATCCCCTAGCACAGCTCCCTCCTTGCATGTCATAGCGCTCTCCTCTTCTGGGAGTGTGTAATTACCGTCTATGCTGGCCCAACTCTTCTGTCCTTCCCCTCACATTCCTACATAACCTTTTATGCAACTGCCAGGAAGGAGCAAAGGGGAAGTCAGAGAATTCAACTGGGGCTGCTGCTATCACATCCAAGATGGCATCACCCAGCAGAAATCTCAGAGCTGGTGACAGGGTCTCTTTAAGAACTGCTTTTCTTTCCATACAAGTCAATGGGAAATAGCTTCAACCAGATCACATGTAAAAGAAGGGCAACTGTAGGTCAAATGCACCTGTGAAGGACCCCACAGACCCTACACAAGATATACCCCGACGTCTCACCAGACACGTGCTGGAGATGCCAGACAGGTGAGGGCTCTCTCCTACATGTATTTTGGACATGCCCAGAACTGAACACATACTGGTCCGAAATTCACAAAATCACATCCCAGGTCACTGGACAGACAATTCACTTCACACCGACGACATTCCTAATGACTGACGCTAATAACGACCCGGGACATAGCAAATCCCTAAGACAACATATGATCAATGCTGCTCGCACAATCATCCCGAGACATTGGAAGGAGGTGAGGACGCCCTCGTTGTCTGAATGGATCCGACAGATCGATCATGTTCGGGAGATGGAGGAGCTGCTCTTCACAAAAAGGGATGCTCTGACCAAATTTATGCGTATATGGGCGTGCTGGCACCATTTCACGAGCACCCAGGATTATCAATCCCTCAAATCCGAATCCTGAACAATCACTTTTCCATTTGCAATGTAGGGTATCGGCAATCCTCGGTTGACCCTTCCTTCTCTACGCTTATAAAAGAATCTCAAACTTTCAACTTTGGACGTTTAAAATGAAGGTTTCTCAATTGACCTCTGGGTAATGGGGGACATTGGAACTATGTGTTATGTACTCAGAAAATGAATAATCCTATATAAATAACCAAGTCTGGATAATGCAAACGTGTCTCTGCTTAAAAGCCAGCTATCCTCCTTCCCTCCCAGCCTTACCCCTATCCTATACCCCTCCCCCCTTCCCTGACCCGGAACTTTACGCTGTGGAAATGTGATTTTATAATGCTTTGTCATACGTATCTGTGTACAAAACAATAAAACTTGTTGGAAATTTTAAAAAAATGCACCTGTGAAGGCATGGGAGATGGAATTCATGAATGCCTCAACCAGATCTCAAATGCTATGGGCACCAAAAGCGTGCAGCCCTTTGACATTTGGAGTCTGCCCCAACCCTTGTCACTATCACTTCTGCTGGACAGCTTGACATGTACAACGTGTCAATGTGGAGAAAGCTACAAAAAGGCGCATTAAATGAAGGAATTCATATACATATCATCATTATGTGTATTACCTTCATATAGTTATCAGATTATAAACAATAGTGGTCCTATAGTACATATGAGCACCACTGAAAGAGACTGACTGGCTATTTGGTACATACCTGGATGACTTTGTAGAAGTAGGCATACTGCCGTGCTGTGTTCTTGTACTGGCTGTATACATCATGTATGGCTTGTGTAGACTGCAGGTAGCGAACTTCGTCCTCCTCGAAATACAGAGGGGTGTCATAGTTGCTGGGCAGGGTCTTTATGTATGGCAGCCAAAAGGAACTGGGATCTGCTCTTTCACACAGCAAGTGGAAGGCGAGGGTAATGTTTCCCATTGCCTGTAAAATCCGGTCCTGGGAGTACAGGGATCCTAAATAAAACAAGACAAGCAGATTTCAGGAACAAGTTCATTTTCTTTTATGGAACAAAGGTAATTTTAATCTTTCTCTTTATAACAGTTTTGGGTCCATTTTATTTTAGTTGTTTCTTTTACCAATGTTAGGCATTGGCTGGCAGGAGTAAGGACAGTGTGTATGTATCACCCAGGTTTCTCACATACACATGGTGAGGGGCTCCAGGGCTAACGACTGATATGGAGAGAAAAAAAAAAAACTTAAGTTCTGTTCTGGGTCCTGGAGCTTGGAGGCTTTGAAGATCTTTGGGTGGGAATACAGCCTCCATTTCTAGGTCCACATCTTGCCTGGTAGCCAGACCTCATGATTAGTCTCAGTTGTCCACAGGCCTTTGTATACGTGAGCTGACTGATGCTCAGATCTCTCACTCTCTCTCTTACTTTCTCTGCTGTGGAAGCCTGCTGCTGTGTGAAAAGGCTGAGTGCTGACAGAATATTAAAACGGTACAAGGGTTGCCGGTTTGTTTTGGAGAACATATTAAGGGACACCCTGTTAGGTAGGAACTGACATGAGTTTAGTTAGTGGCGCAGATGAGCAGATGTTTTGTTTATTTTGTGCTATGGATGTGCTGTACAAAGCCCTCCAGCACTGAAACTGTCAGGGTTATTCACAAATGGGTGATGTTTGGAGAAGGCCGGAGAAGTGAGCAATCTGGGACAACATAGCTGAACTGGAAAGTGAGATGAATTGGAGAAATTTTCAAATCATCTATTTTGGCCTAGATTGTTCACTTCTCCTGCCCGCTGCAAAATCTTCACTCTTTTGTGAATAAACCGGTGTGTGCTTGCTGCCTGAATATGCAGGACAAACCTGAATGGGCTGCTCTTGGGTGTACTTGTCTCATGTACTGCCAATACCAGTTGAACAATTAGTACAATTTTTTAACTTTTAAATGGACATTTATATAGGTATTATTTAGGGATGCACCAATATATCAGCCGAAAATGGCACTTTTGGCATAATGCCGAAAGAGCCATGTTTCGGCCGATACATCGGCGCATCCCTGGTTTCTTTTCTCCCCGCTGGGCACTGCTCTGTGTTCCGGCGGGGAGAAAAGAAAGTGACAGTCGGCCGAGCGCTGCAGGACGAGAGCGCTGTGAGCGGCCGGCCTCTCTCCTCCCACACCGCTCAGCCGCCTATCACAGTCTGGCAGAGCGGTGTGCGGGCAGAGAGAGCCAGCGCTGTCACAGGAGGCTGAGCCCTCCTCCCACAGTGCTCAGCCGCCTATCACAGTCCGGCAGAGCGGTGTGTGGGCGGAGACAGCCAGCGCTGTCACAGGAGGCTGAGCTCACCTCCCTGCTCCGCTCGATCAGCCTCCTGTGACAGCGTGTGTCAGAGAGGAGAGCAGGCTACATACACTCGGCAATCAGTGATCGCTGAGTGTTTGTAGATAATTGAGGACATGGTATGGTTACTATATCCTCAATTATGAATGAATGGGAGTGATCTGCATCACCTCATGTTCATTCATAGTTGTAGGTATAGTAAACATACCATGTCCACCGGCAGACTGAAATCCAGGAGCTCCACAGGAAATCATGCAAAATTAGCACCGTACTTGCATCACCACAAGATACACTTCAGCATTTTTGTTAGCCAACTTAATATCTAGTGCCGGACAGCTTCATTTGTAAGTATGGTTTAAACATATTTGTCAGTAACGCAACAGCCATAAAGTAACTGTTCCACCATTCCTAGAGGATGAAACCATGGCCAAACAATGGTACTGCGTCTGACCTTCACCGGCTGATCATGTCCTTACCCAACATGGAATTCTTAGCAGACTCCACAGTCATTAGTAACTTCCTTGGTACCCACAGGAACAGCTCTTCAGCCTGAATAGGAAGAATAAGATTTTGGTCAGTCTATGGACCAGTTTTTATAAATCAACCTCAATATATTTTACAAATATAAAATCCTAAATCAAGAAACTACCACTTAGCATTACCAAGTCACCCATTAATATACACAGGCTACCTGCTGACTCCATTTACTAAGGACAGGACTTAATCTAGATTTTTTAACACCAACTACAAATCATATCAAAGTGATCTGGGGGCCCAGCAGGAACACTATGTACATGCAAATAAAAAAAAACAAGCCCCCAACAAATCATAAGCTTACTGGAAATTATTATTATTATTATTATACAGGATTTATATAGCGCCAATAGTTTTCACAGCGCTTTACAATATAAGGAAGACATTACAGTCACAATACAATTTAAGACAAGATGGTAAGGAGGGCCCTGCACGTGAGATGCTCTGGTAACACAAAAAGTCTTATGAAATAATAAATAATATGAAATAATAATCAACAATAATGATGGGCATGGTGCAAGGATGCAGCTATAAACATTGCAGGCCACAAAATCTGCTATGAGGCCTTGCATACATTGAAAAGCATGTCGTTGCCAGCTGTCTACATGTTACAGAGACTGCCCCACATCACATAGGGGTTCATTTATAAAGGGTCTGCTGGGTGGATGCCAGTCGCATGGCAATAGTGGACCTAGATGGTACTGATGAGTATAGGATTCCCTATACTCACCGCCGCCATCTTGAGGCACTAGTGTCATGTGAACAGACCCCCACAGGTCCATCTTTTAGGTCTAAAATAAGATCCTTTTCTTATTAAATGTAGTAATTTGCTTTAAAACGTGTTCATAATAGTATTATGTTTCCTACAAGTTACTCTGAAACTTTTGCTGGTTCTCAAGTTTAATTTGAGGTGCATCCTGCTCACTAACAGCATATATGAAAACCCCAGGCAGGGAAGTTATGGGATCCAGCCACCCCCGCCAGATCACTTTCCTCTGTCACAGGTAAGCAGCACAGCTTGGTCACCGACTCACCCCCAGCTTCCTTCTGACCTGCAGTTTACCTGCTAAGCTGCGACAACCTGCTCCAAGCTGTTTTTGCATGCCCCTAGACTTGTATGGGGAGAAAAGCTGCTCCAATATAAAAAAGTCCTCAGACACAGGCACTAATGGAGGGGCAATGCGAGAATCTACATCCACAAGAGACAGTGGAGGATCATTTATAATATTCCAAATCACACCTTTATCTCTCTTGTCGCCTTCAGCCCGAAGCCTTCATTGGGAAACTCTACAAGTTCAAAACCTTCAGTTGACGCTCCATTTGTTCTCGCCCACTCAATAAGTTCGGGGAAATAATCTTCCCTCTTCCCGTCAAATACAACGGACAAGCCAACTACAAATAACAGAAAAGCAACAAATGTCAAATCTAGTAAAGCATTAAAAGGTAAACTGTGTAGAAAGTTTTCAGCAGCTTTAGAAATGATGTTTCCTACTGTACACAAACATGCTCTTCTTTTGCAATACAATGCTGCGGCCACTGTAAAACTGATCCAAGAAACCTGCTGAACAAGGGCTCAATGTCCCTTATTTCCTGTTTGTAGGACACTGCTGTGCCTGCTCCTTCCCCGGGCCACCGGTCTTGAAACATCCCTGCTGCAGTTTATTTCTTACCAACAGCAATGTAATAACTTCACCGCTGCCTGTAGTGGGAGAAGCCGGGCGTCCTAAGCTGGCCATACACTGTTATATTTTCACTCACAGATTCCTCCATCTACGCTAAGCAGTGTGAATGAATGAATCTTCCTCTGTGTCCTTGGTATTCCGACAGCAGTGGGTGTGCCGCTGTCAGAATACTCCAACAGTGACAGAAATAGATTGGTTGCCGTTACTTCATCTGAAGATTTTCCACCCAGTTCCTTGGATTTTCTGATGAAAGGATGCCAGACAGAAGGGTGCAGACAGCGGCACCCACTGTGCGAATTTCCTCCAGTTCATTAAGAACCAGCCGAAATTTTACAATGTATGGCCAAGTTAGACTCCCGATCTGTCCCACCACCTGGTCTGTCAAATCCAATCATGCCTGCCGGAATAGGAGCTCCAACACTGACCTACACATAGCTTATATAAGAATAAGGTTCGAGACTCCAGCAAGAATCAGTGGGCAGAGGGATGGGTTCCTGAGAGAACCTGTCACTTTACTCCGAATGGAAAAAGTGATGATGGATTTAGTTTAACTGACCATAATCGCTGCAAGAAGAGAACCATGTGTCAGACTGCACCTTGCTTGTTCTATTCAGCCTCCTGGCAGCCCCAGCAGGATTCTCTCAAGTTCTTGCACAAGAAGCAACTTTCCAAAAATTGGTATAGCCTTAGGCATTATCCTCCAAGTGACAGTTTATAGGCCTGGTGGTAGCTCGGTCAAACACAAAGCCATTCAATGTGATTGGGGGGAGGGACCTACTTACTGTTCCCATAACCTAAAAGTGTGGACATTTTAGTGAACATTAGGTAAGACCTACTGAATTATAGTGAATATTTAACATAGGGTACAGTAGGCACATGAAGGTTGTAGCTAGACCCTTTGGACATCCACCAATGGCCGAGTGAAAGCTTAAAGGAGAACTATGAGGTGAGTGCTTTTCACTCACCTCAAAGTTCTAGCCGACCAAAATCTTCGTAAGCCCTTGCACTTCACCGTGTCTCTCCACACTCTACCAACCTTTCTGACTTGTGGCTTTTAAAGCTGTGCAGCGTAATGTAAACAAAATGGGAAATGTGGCATAATGTGTCATTAAGTATCGGTGTAAATAAAACCATGCAAAAAATGAGAATTTCCTGTATAAGAAAAAAAAAAAGCCTTCACTGACCTTTCTGCTTCCTACGGATTCTTTCGACAAGGCCGCGAATCTGCACGTATTCTTCCCACTCTCTTCCCGGAGCAGAATTGGGATTACTGCACTCTGCAGGGAGACAACATACCTTAAAAGTCGATTTCCACCTTTGTAAGTGATTAGCATTTATTGTGGTAATGTAGAGATACAGTGATGATGTATATGTGTGTACATTTTCAGGACTCACATTGCTGGCGTTCTTCATTTTGTTTTATGAAGTTTTTATTAGGCCTGAAGCCTAGAAATTCAACATTTTCTCCATAGGAAACTCAGTCTGACACAGGGGTGGGATGTAAGTAGACTCTAAAGAGCTCTTCCCCCCTCTCTGTTATTCACAGTAAAACAATCAGTAAACAGCAGCTCTGCCTTTGCACACAATACACTGTCCGGGGGGGGGGGCTTGTCCTGTTTGGGTATTGAGCAGCAGAAAATTAATACAATTGCCGGCAGCGGGGATTCCTCCAATTCCAGCCTATTCGTTCATCCACGCTGTTTAGGGTGCATGGAGGAATCAATGGAGAAAAATGTACAGGTTGTATGGCCTGCTTTAGCCAACACAATCTTCCCCTGACATTATCTGAGGCTGTGTGCAGAAGACAAAACTACTTGCTGGCATCCAATCAAATCCCTGTCGGCTGAAAAACAATCAGGTACTGGCCTTTATCGTGAACAGATAGGATTAGAAGGATGCTCTATATGCATTCCACATCGGACTCTAAAGTTTTTACCAAAATGCAAAATTGTTAATTTTTTTCGAGGAGGAAATAACCGATTTAGGTGCAGCAAGTAAATAGGAAGAACCCCCCAAGATGTCATCTTTGTTATCCCTAAGCACAGGCACAATATCTCTCCACACTTACTCTGTAGTAATTCGGTGATCAGGTTCATAATTTCCTTCGGGGACACGGCTGCTGCCGCCCCACTGCCGGACTTCTGCGTTTTCACCCTGCTCTTCTTCCCCATCTCTGGATCTGCCTGCAATGGTAATGGAGTCAGCGTCACGACAAGACAGAACGGCTGCACCAAAACACATAAGGTTATTTATACAGCAGAGCAACAAGATGTGTTATACTGGGGCATCTGAATTCTACAGGACTACCTACACACCTTCATAACTTTTCCTAAATAACTGAAACAACTCATAGAGCTTCTGTGTACATGTGCACAGAATGAAGAGGTTACTCATTCCTCTTTCGGTCTCCTCCCTTTTTACAGAAACTCACACAGGTTATTCCGGCTGGTTGCTAGCTCGGTTCCTGCAGCCTCTCTCCCCCTTCACTTCTGGGGGGTCCCAGAACCCATTAGTCATCACGTCTGATACAGTGTATTGGACGTGAGGTCACTGAGGGATACTGGAAAGAGGCTGCAGGGACCGGTATTGGGCGAGTATAATCTTTGTTATTTTGGACACTAAGGGCCTGTTCACATGAGTTTCAGGTCCGGATCAGCAGGCGCGGTGCTTTGCGTTTTGCCGCGTTTTAGCAGCGTTCCACCAAAAAAAAAAAAGTGGGGCTGTCAGTATGTTAGCTACAGTGCTGACCGCACAAAATGTGACATGCAGTATTTTTCTGTCGTAACCTGAACGGACTGTGCACGTGAGAACTGTAGCCCATAAAACACATAGGGATACATTGGGATACATTTTTAGGGCAGGAGCGTACGGATCAGGTCAGCACAGAAAACGGACGTCGTGTGAACAGGCCCTAAACCAAACAGAGCACTTCACCCTTGCAGTTCGGGGTTTTTTTCTGCCTAGAGTTCTTCTTTAATGCATGCACGGTTTTGTTGGACTTTGTTTTAGCGGTGCAGCAGATGGCTACAGGCTGAGAGAATAATCGTTTTTCATGTTTACCTTTATTTGCCAAACCGAATACCCGTGCACCTAGTGAAGAAAAGAAAGAACATCAGCAACAAGGAAGAAGGAGTATGGAATTGATAAAGGACGCAATACGCAGCGAACAAATTACCTGACACACAGCTCCCTGTTCCCATTTTAGCCCCAACGTTAAGGTGGGCAATCTTCCCAAAATGTTGCCATACACAGCTCATGTTTTATAGAAAGCTTTAATAGAAGGTTTCTGAAACTAAAATGATGACATCATTGGCCTACCCTTTCAATATTTGACAATGGTGGCTATAAGGTTTATTCAGTCAGGTGTTCTTTTCTTATGAAACTCAATAAATGATCAAGCAGAACGTCAGCCAAAAAAAAAAAAAAGACACAAATCACCCATTACAAATATTGAAAAAAGCATCTTTTCCTGCAATATTTACAATCTCCATGGTACTTCTTTCCTACCACTAGAAGTTCTCAGTCTTCCCAGCTGAATAATTGCCAATGTTATTTACCTCACTTTTAACGCACAGGTTCTCCGGGACTTGCCCCCCGAGGGTGCATAATCAATCATACAGCCTGATCTACATGGCACTCATACATGAAGTGTACACCATTCAGTGCAACAGAAAGGACCACACACCACCAGAGAAGAGGAAAAGCCAGTGACGTCCTCGAACCTGCTAGAAGAGCCTTGCAAAAAAAGTATGTACGGCCATTTGTATACTAATACAAGTCAGCACCCAGCAAGCACTGATCATGTGACAGTCTCTCTTCCTAAGAATATTTAGAGATGGGTACGTCCCTGAATTCATGAAATGTTTGCTTTGAGTCAATGGAGAGGACTATTTTCATAAACAGCAACTTGGCCTAAAAATATGGCAACCTGTTTTCATCAGGCTTGTGTTGATGGCATCGGTTTGAAATGTTTCCGAGTTCATTCAGAATTCACTGATAGGTACATGTGACCTGCTTTAAGGGCCCGTTCACACTAGCTCCGATGCGTTCCAGCATGATTCGCTGCTGGAAAGCACTGGAGCGCATCCCGGCCGGCTTCTTGCGTTCAGGGGTAGGCGTGTAAAAGTCAATGGCAGCGCAGGCATCCTGCCCGCAATTCAACCGCCCGCACCAGAATGCATGCAGCATTTTTTCAAATCGCACTGGACCGGAACGCAGGCACTGAATGATGAAGTCAATTAGGGCTGCAACAACTAATCAACATAATCGATTATTGAAAAAGTTGTCAACTTTTTCAATAATCGATTAATCGGCTTCCGATCAGTTGGCCCTGTTCACGGCTCCACACACGCTGCGCGCCGCACCTCCTCCCCAACTCACGCTCAGCGCTGCCAGACCCGCCCGCCCGCATCCACGCTCTACACGCCGCACCTCCTTCCCGCCTCACACTCACCACCCGCCCACATCCACGATTGGCACAGGGACGCAGGGAGATGTAGTAAGGAGGAGGAGGTGTGGGGGGATGACAGCCGCCGATAGACAGGTCCGATCTCAGAAGCAAGTTGCTGGAAGACTGCTCAGGTAAGCCTGCACTTTCCCCCCCACATGGTGCTCTACAATGTATTGCTGGTATTTGTATTCCTCTATAGCTGATGGTACATTGTGCTCTATATTATACATAGGAATACAAATCCCAGCAATACATCGTACGCTGTATGTATAATGTATTGCTGGGATTTGTTGTACTCCTCTATAGTTGGTGATATTCTGCACTGCATCACTGGAGCCATTTTTTAAAAATTTTATTTTATTGTTTATCCGATTAACCGATTAATCGAACTTAATAATCGGCTAACTAATCGATTTTGAAAATAATCGTTAGCTGCAGCTCTAAAGTCAATGGCACCGCAGCCACGCCCCCTGCCGCAGGAAGATGGCTAGGATGCACTTCAGTACAGCGTAAGTCTGGTAAAGCCAGATTTTTTATGTGACAACACAACGCTTCTGCAGCACCAAGATCCCAATCAGCGTGGTCAGCCCTGCCTGCTGGACTGCAAAAATCAATCTGTCCCTGCCCCTCTCCTCTCCACATTAATTCCCTGGAAAGCAATGCTGCTGCTTTGACTTTCAAGAGCCTGCCCACACCCTGTGTGTAGAGAAAAGAGCTCTTGGGAGATGTAGTTCTGAGGATGAAGTTCTGAGAATGTATGTCAATAGGAACTTTAAAAGCCTGGTGGAAGAAAAAAAAAAAGTTCAGGGGAGTAGTTTGGGGGTAAATAATTTGGGTATCCCGTACATTCACTTTAAAGCTGAACCCTAGGTAGATATAAAAAGACATATCAATGCAGATCCTAATTCATTAAAACATCATTTTGCAATGCAAGCAGTGTACCGGGTAATAACCTCTTGCAGTCCATGTACAGCAGAGCTAAGTGGGAAAGAAGAAGCAGCATTAGGAAATAAAACAGTTCATGTGCGCAAGAAACACACCAATAGGAGCAGTGTGAGAGAGAGAAGAGCTCATCAGTGTGCTGCTTCTCCTTTACCACCCAATCACATGCTAGGAGGTGGATCCATGACAGCCTGATCTAAGGGGAAGCGTGTTGAATGATCAGAACATCTTGTAGCAGAAAAGTACTGAAAGGGGCTTGGAAAGAAGTCAGGTCCCGATTGAAGGGGCTCTTTATTACCCTTAAAGGAGAACTATGGGGGTCAGTGTTTTTCCCCATAGTTCTCCTTAGGGTAACAGGAGGACACAAACTAGCGTCCTCCCGTTACCCTAAGCTCAGTATACCGCGAGCTACAGCTCACAGTATACTGAGATGCCGCAGCCAGAGCGGATCCCGACTTAGACGACGGGATCCGCCCAGCTGCGTGAGTGACAACTGGCTCTGTCTATCTAGAGGCAGAGCCAGCTGTACCCGCCCCCTCCCCCGTCCATTCCACCAGTCAGCGCTGGCAGATCGGAGCGGGGAGGGGAATCCAGCCCCTCCCCCTGTCATGGCAAAGAGCCGTAACAGGATCGAGAGGTGAGCGAACCCGGTATGTGTTCGCTCACCTCCCGATCTACAGAGCCGACCTGTGACAGTCTCATTGTCACAGGTCGGCTAGAACTATGAGGTGAGTGAAAAGCACTCACCTCATAGTTCTCCTTTAAGTGGGCCATTAATATTGTTGCTATTTTTGCCCAGGGTTCGAATTTATTATTATTTTTAGATGCATCAGCTAGCTGGCTTCCGGGATTTGTCTGGGCTTGCTCAGGATCTGAATAGTAAACTGCAAACCATACCGTACGCTGGAAAGAACATTAAAAATGCATGAATGAAAAACACACGTCCAGATGACATTCATCTTCCCATTTTATTACACCCTTTGCCGCCAACGCCAGTGAACAAAAGCCTGCGGGGCCAGCGGAACCCATTTCATCTCTGCAAACGTACAAAACTTCCATTTGGTGTCCTTCCTGTCTGAAATGGAGATGAAGAGAACCACGGCTTGCGCAAGAATCCTCTATCCCTTCAGCTAGAACACGCATAATTATTTTGTCACCAGCTCCATGGAAACCGAGTAAAAGGGATTTATTTAAATATCACAAGTGATCACAGCACACAACGCCACGCTATACGACGGGGAGAAGCATGTCGGTTTCTTCTGTATGGGGCAGATATTCTCCAATCCCGGATACAACAACTGACAGCGGCAGGAAGAGAATGTGTTACTTTTGTTGTATAGATTTCCATTATTATATTCCAGACCTAAAGTGACATTAAAAGGATAATATTTTTTTCCTCCCCCAATGTTAGTGTCAGGACTTACCGTAAATGATGTCTCTTAATCCGATCTTCTTCAGTGTAATTTTCAGCTGTCCCTCCAGCGCTGGTGCGGGTCTCCGATCCAGCGCTGACCCCTCTGTCCTCCTCTCCTCTGATGTCCCACGGTGTCTGTGCAGGCGCACGCTGCTCCATAGACTTACCCCGAGTCTCTCCTCGTCTCACGGCCAAACATCAGAACTGCGCAGTAGATATATGCAAGACGATTAAAAAAAAAAAACACTTTTTCAAAGTATTAATACTTACCTGCGTCTCCGCCATGCACTCCCGGCTGAAGATCTGAAGATTTTTGGACGGCTGCAAAGGATCATGGGGCGTGCGCATGCGCATTACAGATCTTTGGCCGGCAGAAGAGGAGAGACACAGGGTAAGGCAATGGAGCAGTGTGTGCCCGCACAGACTCCGTGGGACAGGAAGAGTCAGCTCTGGATCACAGACCGGCACCAGCGCTGGAGGGACTCCTGAAAACTACTGGAAAGTAGATGATGATCGGATCAAGAGGCATCATTTAAGGTAAGTCCTTACACCAGCATGATTTTTTGCCTTTAATGTCACTTTAACTCCTGAGTTTAGCAGTTTAGTCACACATGAACTGGTATTAGCTTTGCATTGTAGTGCAGCAGTTGTCAAGCATTCTACTTGCAATCACTTTTAGGAGAGGAGAATAGAAGAACGACGACACGGATATGATCCTCCTCCTACACAGAAGGCCCGAAGCATGCGACACTGTTCAGCTAAACTAACCGAAAATGATTGAATTATGTTATCCACACGGCAAGTGACCTTTATACTGCTGGTCTTAGCAGACAGAGAGCGCAGTGTTTCTTTTCACATTTATGGCTGCCCCCCTCCCCCCTCCGCTTTCAAAACAATGATGATCAGTTTAGATTTAAAGTTTAAATATTTATACAGAGTGCGGCTCTAATAAAGTACCGAGCAGAGGCCCCCGTGCAGTGACCCCCCTCACCCCTTCCCTGAGAGCAAGATCCAGCAGCCAAAATACTACACAACCTCATATACAAATATCCCAACGCTGTGCAACATAAAGAACGGTAAAGCACAAGATGTCTGTTTACTTTTTATCAGCTTCTTGTATATAATAAATGGTATTGCGTAGGCCTCGTTCACACCTGAACGTTTTGTAGCGCGTTCTACGCTCGACGAACACTCTACAAAACGCTCAAACATCTAAATCCCATTGTATTCAATGGGTCTGGTTCACACCTTGGCGTATTTCAGCCCGTCCCTAACGCGCTACA